CTAAATGTGGTGTTCCAGACCTAGTCGACCAGATCAACAAGCGTTTGGATGCTCTTTCACCGCCAACAGCAAGACTCCATCCGATTCCGGAGAGAGATCGATAGTAGGGCATTCCAACTGCATCAACCAAGCCCTAGATGAAAGACTTCGCAACCTGGAATGAAGATTGATCATAACATAGCCAAATCAAGTGCATCAGGAACATGAATTTCGTGATTATGGAGGAAGGCCCCCCAAAGGTAGGACGCGAAGGTACCGTTACTTAATTACGCGGAATCAAGTTGTCAATTCTGTCATTTCAAGGATCTCTCAATGCTTCTGCATACCTGGATTGGGAGAGGAAGATCATCATGTTCTTCCAATGTAGTAACTACAGTGAGCAACAAAAGGTATCTCTAGCCACATATGAATTCACTGAATATGCAGCCGTATGGTGGGAGTAGGTACAACTCAAGAGAAGAAGGAATCTGCAGCCAGATGTGACAACTTGGGCTGAATTGAGAAGACTCATGAGAGAGAGTTTCGTACCAGGATACTATCAAAGAGAGCTCTTTGATTCCTTGTAGGGAGCACGACTTGTTGAGGAGTATTTCCGGAAGGTTGAACTGCTCATGATGAGAGCTGATGTGAGGGAGGACAAGGAAGCAACAATTGCTCCTTTCTTACATGCAGCGGCGGATCCAGGATGCAGTAGAGCACTGGGCCGAATTTCATTAGAAAATTAGATACCGTAAAAAATCACAGTGTTTTTTACAATATCAATTGTACACGTCGATCTTTTAAATTTTAATATAGTGAATTCATCAATAATAGAGTTTACATCCATACCAATAGCATACTCTCTTTAAGATAAAAATAGTTAAACCAATTGGCGAGAAATTCATCGCTCATTTTGTTGCACACATAATTTTTCACCTATTTCATTGTTGAAAAGGTTGTCTCCATAATAGTTGTTGAAAAGAGCAATGTCAACACTGGACAAATCAATCGACTAATCAATATATATTGTGTATCAATTCCTATTTTCACCAGCTGCTCTAGTAATTTCTTAAGAGAATAAACCTCATATTTCTTTTAGTCTTTTACGTTTTAGAATTTTAGGTTTCATTTTGTTTTTCTTTAGATGAGAATCATTGGAGCTAGAATTTTCAAGCTAAATTTAGAGTTGTGATTTGAAAATGTTCATCTTACCAATTTCCTAATTACACACAATCTTATTATAAATTAACACTGGGCCGAATGGCTAAAATCGATAAACTTAGCTCCGGATCCAGGGGAGGGCTGGGCCATGGCCCGGGGTGGCCACCCCCTGGATCCGCCACTGCTTACATGGGCTCAACATAAAGATCAAGCACGAAGTCGAGCTTTGTCAGTTTGTCGAGCTGAAGGACATGTTTCACCTAGCCACTAAGGAGGAGAAGCAGATGAAGGTTAGCTTGGGAAGAAGGTACCCACCTTCGCCCAAACCAGTTGCAGAGGGCATTCTTAATGCCAATGTGAATCACTTTTGGCCTGAGGGTGACTGGCCATCGGCTAGAAATATGGCCCCAGTCATCCAAGCCAGAAATGAAGGGTCAACTGGAAGCATCCAATGGTTCAAGTTCTTAGGTCGAGGTCACAAGACAAACCAGTGCCCCAACAAGAAGGCTCTGGTCTTGTGAGATCGAGAGTACTTTTCTGAAGAGGAGTATGAAGAGAAACCCATGGGGAACGGATTCGGTTATTATGCTGAATCTAAAGATGATGATGTGGGTGAGCACGTCAAGACTGAGAAACCTCCAAAAGTTAAACTTCTTGGAGTCAACCGCAGAGCTTTATCTACTGAAACTTACACGGAGACTAAGTAGAGGGATAATCTTTTTCACTCTTGTTGCTTGGTCGACGAGAAGATGTTGGATGTGGTCATCGATGGTGGTAGCTGCACCAATGCGATTAGTCTTGAAGAAGTCAAGAAGTTGGGGTTGAGCACCATCAAGCATCCTCAACCATACACCCTGCATTGGCTGAACGACTATAGGAATATCAAAGTCAACAATAAGGCCAAGTTTTGTTTTCGGATTGATCATTATATAGATGAGATTTTCGTGTGAGGTTGCTCCAATGCAGACTGCTCATCTCCTATTGGGTCGTCCATGGAAATACGATCGAGAGGTTATTCATGATGGAAGGCACGATAGCTACTGGTTCAAGAAAGGCCATCGAAACTTTATGCTAAATACATTCTCACCAGGTGAAGTCCTGGAAGATCAACAACAACTGGCCATGAACTGGGCCAAGGAGAAAGGAAGTGCAAGTGGCTCGAAGTCGGAGGACGTAGGTGGAGGCGTGGAGCACATATGATGGCTCGAAGGAACATATTGACTCCACTAAGGAGAAGTCCATTGAAAAATGCTATTGATGTTGTCTCCTATAGGAACACCCAACCTTTGTGGGCAAAGCTTCTCTAATGGGGAGGGACTGATGCGTCCCTAGCTGACCGGCCAAGAGAGAAGCATTGGGCCTGCGAGAAGGGAATACTCGTTCATGAAGGAGAATACACTATCGGGTAAAAAGAGCAGGAGGATTGGTAAAAGGAGCAGAAGGCCCCCCGTTCGGTGAGTTAAAATACCCGACCGGGTAATTTTAGGGCTTCGACCGAGTATTTTGACCTAGGTGACGGGATTTGGTGTTTTAAGTTGTTTTTATTATTTTTAATTGTCCGGACTTATATAAAGGCTGAAACTCGAGTTTTAGAGTTAGTTTTTGCATAATAACTTTTTATCTTGGTATTGTGCTTTAGGCTTGAACTTTTCTCTATATCAATCAAGTTTTCCTATTGATTGTTGTCGAACTTCTAGCTATTATATTGATAGAGTCTTCTCCCGATTTTGTTTTGAGGTTGCACTTTCAATTCCATCCTATCACAAACAAACAAAAAACCCCAAAAAATATATTTCTTGATCGTTCTTGAAGCTGCGTAATTTGATAACTACGAGTACAAGATCTATGCTCGTATCACCAATCCATCTCATTTGTTATTTTGCCACGTCATAGTTAACTATCGGTTGACCGAATGGAAAGTTAACGGTTTGGCTAATAAATTGTTTTCGAAAAACTTTAGCTATTATTTTGTTTAATGTGAAAGATTTGGCTAATAAATTATATTTATCCAAAAATATTCTAAAGAATGCGGGAATTGCAACAATCTCACTACAATAATCTTAGAAGCCAAATGACCGTTTAGGATCTAAATTTTTTGTCGATATGGTTGATATGATCTCAATGAAGATCTTGGACCAGAGTTGCACAACCAACTAGATCATGACAATTGAAACTCGATTAGTTGATACTCAAACCAAGAACAACCCCAAATAACCTTGCTCTTTGGATCGGATAAGGATGGAATTGAAGTACAATCTCACACATGGGAATAGGTTTAATCAATTTGGGTAGATGCTCGTCATAATCAAGATGAATTACTTGATTGATAATAGACCAAACGACCTTTGCAGTCCACCAAAGATCAACAAAAACTTGTAAGCTTTTGGTGGAAGGATTCTAGGTTGAAACTCAATCAATAATGTTCAATCCTTACACACTAAAATGCGGCCTTTATATAGGCGAAAGAAAATTCAATCATATGTTAACTAATCAACATAGTTGTCATGCCGGCCGGCGTGCCACCGGTTGTACCGGGTTCAACCGATACCAGTCATAAAACCGGCGTGACACCACCGGTAGGACCGGCATGATCGATATACGAATCTCTAAGTAAAATGACCTTATTTTAGAGAATTTAATTGATAAAAATTATTTTATTATTTATTTTATGAGTATAAAAGTTAAATATAGATGTTATTTGTTGGATTCAAGTATAAATGTTTAGGTATTGACGTTAAATGTCATGTTTAAATATGAGTATTTATAATTTTATTTGTAATATTGACCGGCATGAACCGGCACAAACCGGTATGTGCCACCGGTTGAACCATTCCACTTGCTAAACCGGCACACTGGCATAAACCGGTTTGACAACCTTGCTAATCAAGGAAAACAACCACAATAATAATAAGGAAAAACAAACATGAACTATCTAGAGAATCCTTCCCAAACTCATACTTGTTGTCTAAGTAAGTAACATCCTGCGCAAGTAAAATAAACAGCCTCCATATGATCTTCAAGCTGCTCGTTTGAGGCTTTCCAAGCTTAGTCAACCTCAACCAACTCATTCACGATTTTTAACAAGTCTTGGACTTTCACACCCAACTCCTAGCTTCACTAGTTTAGGACACAAATTTCACGAAACGCATATAGTTTGTGCAAGATTTATCATATTGAATAGTTTAGCACACAAATGACACTTTTTATATAGTTTGGATTTCCTACTGAAATTAGCCCTTTAAAAAATTTCTTTGTAACATCCAATAAAAATATAAATTCTAATTCTTTATCAAATGACATGTATACCCTTAACCAAAAAAATCAGAGTGATTAAAAAACATTAAAATTTACTGCTAAAGTTATTTAGTGGAATAAAAAAAGATTCAAGTAGGGAGAAAAATCTCACAAATCAATATATACAATCTCTCTTATTATGAAAAATTTGATATCTATAAAAAATTTGATATCTATAACTCTTAGAGATTTGTAATCCCTAAAGATAAAATCCATGATACACAAAGTAGAAAAAGACACAACTCCTTGTCAAATCTATGGAATTAACGAATTTATAACTAAAATAAATTTCTCCAAACAAGATCTTAAGTCAAAACTTTTTTTTTGTCAAATCTTAAGTCAAAATTTTACTCGGCCTGTAACTTTATGCTCTATTTTTTTTTTTCCAAATAATTTTTCGGGTTACGTAATGCAAGTTGAGTTTGGACTACCTCCATCTTCAAATAAAGTTGTTTGCGGCCCAAAATGGACTCATTTATTTATATCATGTTTGGAGGACGAATTGAAATGAATAATTGATTCATTTGGTCTCAAATAGTACCAAATAATGAAAATTCTAACTAATACAAAAAAAAAAAAAAAAAAAACCTGTTTGGAGGACAATCTGGCCGTAGAGTTCGAACCTGTAATAATATTATTATTTCGAAGCAATGTGTTCAACCAACCCCCAAGGAACAGAAGCCCCTTGCCTTACGGTGCAAGGCATGGTTTGCGCGTCTTAACAGAGCAGAGCACCAAAAAGGGAAAATAAAAGAACTGTATGTATGATAACAACTAGGGAGTTCACTATTGACTGCTAGAATTCTGCATACACGTTGTACAGTACATAAGTCAAAACTCCTTCAAGATTAAAACCATAAATTCAAACATAAAGATGTCAAGAAAAACTCTAATTATTCCCATGGCTCGTAAACAGATGCCCATCCTAAGTTTCACCCAAGGATGAAAGTCCAAACTATTCTCTCTATTAAGTATCGATCAAAGCGATGACAAGCTCACCGGCTTGGTATTTAAGAACTCATATTCATTTTGCCTTTGCGTCAATCACCTTCTTCGCAAAGGCTGGCAGACAGAAAGCAGCAGTATGAATCTGGAAAGAGCAACATAAGCAATTAGTTAGATTGAAAACCATTTCCCAACAACCATTAATGTGCAAAGAATAAATAGAGAGGGAACTCAGACCTCAGGGTTGTAAAACTTCAATGGCCCTCTTGCTTTGTTATAGTCAGTGTTGGTGTCTATTGAACTCACTGGATTCTTGAAATCGACAGAGGGTCCCTCGGTAGAGCAAAGCATGAAGCCAATCACGCCACTGCGAGCGAATGAGAGACCAATAACATCAGGATGCTGCTTGAAATGCAACAAAACGACAGCAGAACAACAAAGGAAAAAAGGAACGGAGCTGACTATGATCCTTAAATTAATCGTAATATACCTTGGATAAGTAGGGACGGTGGTCCATGCATAGTTGACGGAGCCTTTGAAGATTTGGCGGCAGTTTGCCACAATATCTTCAATGATGTGCATATGAAGCCATATGCTTTCCGCCTGAGTACAAACAACTCCCCCTGGACGAAGAGCATTCGCTACAGACTGGAAGAACGGCTTCTCAAAAAGCTCTTGTGCAGGGCCTGAAGAGTGAAGAGATAACGTGTTGAGATCAAACTCAAATTTCCAATGCCAGCATTGAGATACTCATTAAGGGAGTCGGATACAGTACCTATAGGGTCAGAAGAATCTACTATGACTGCATCATAGGTCCCTTTAGGAACAGCCTTCAGAAATGCAACTCCTGCAAGACAAAAACATAACATAACATAAATAGCTGGAATAAAAAGAGATCATGCAAGAAGATCATGAACTTGTGCGCTTACCATCACCAATATGGAGAGTAACACGGGGATCCTCATATCCAATGGCTACTTCAGGAAAGAACTGTTTAGAAACCTACAGAACAAGGTTATAGCAGCATATCACATACAACATGAATACAGTGTTTAAAGTTTAGGACAGTTCTACAATATCATATTTGGACCCTTTCAGAGGGGAAGCCATGATGCAATGAACTGGTATCAGAAAATCCTCAAATGAATTTTGGCCAATGAGAACAATCATACTGCTAGGCGCTAGCCAGAAGCCCAGAACCCAAGAGACCAACGGAGAGATCTAGCACACACAACGATGAAGGGATAAGTCATACTTACATCGACAACCATCTTATCTATTTCACATATATCTATTTGCTCGACGGAAGAGTGCCGACCCACTTCTCTCAAGACTCCACCATCTCCTCCACCGATAACCAAAACCTGAAGGCAAAAGTTAAGAGCGAAATGAAAAGAGGCATTGTTTTATACAAAACAATTTCAGGACCAAAATTCCTTGAACAGAAAAGGGAACATATATACCCAAAGAGGCAACTCGGTCATTTTAAGATGAAAATGAAATATTCTGCAGAATGAGCTTCCTGGTTTCAAGTAGAAGGCCTTGTAACAAACTATTACTGGTGTTGATTACTAAAACAAGGTGGCCCTTCTCTTGTTATAGTAATTAACATATATAGTGCAGGTCATGGGACGCAAAACAGGAGTGGTTGCGTTTAGTTCACAAGCAAAGTTTAAACATTTCTAAAAGAACATTACTAGGACTACAACATCAGAGAGGTGCATCATGCATTTCAAGTTAAAGACTTCTTTTCCCCTTTATATATGAGTGAGAATTTCAAGTTAAACTTTGCAAATTGTTTACCTTCTTAGGGTTGGGGATTGAGGACAGTGGAAGGTGAGTTATCATTTCTTGATATGCACACTCATCTCTCTCTGTGAGCTGAATCACTCCATCCAAAACCAGAACCTTCCCGTACGTTGCAGACTGCAAAAAGGAAAACCCACGCAACATTTTCTTTAAAATCATCATAAACGGAGGGGGGAACACGAAGCAAACGGTGAAAGGATACATAATATTACCTGAAACACCATAACATCCTGGTAGTCAGACTTCCCTTGGAACAAGATCTTCTCCACCTTCAAAGAATGTGCCTCTCCTGAAGATTCCCAAATCCAAGCGGGTCAACAACCAACACAAGTTCCCAACAGAAGCATGAAAATCCACAGCCAAGAAAGTCTTCAAATCGAAAGCCATTGGACAAGTGTAGCACCAAGCAAAGTAGGCATAAAACAGACTGAACAAGACAGGGCATATACATTTGCTGGGACTTGAAAACAGAATAAATTCCATTGCCAGGTTCTCACTAAAGCCCCAAGCAGATGATACTGCTTCAGTGAACGTTGAACTTTTGCATGCAGAGAACCCAGAGCAGGCTTAGATAGACATACACTCAAACTGAAGTTAGCTTCTAATGACAAATCAAATTCGAGGAAAGAGGAGGCAAGTTTATTCAATTGGATGAGATCTCCTGGGCAGCTATGTTCAGCACAAACAAAGAAACAAACTTTTCACTTTCTAGTTCCAATAACTGTACAAACAAATTATTGGGAAGGCAAGAAGAGGCAGCGCGTTCAGTTCAACGAGCCAGGAAAAAAAAAACACGAAACAAAAAAACATGAAACTCTGAATAAGGAGACGGTAGAAAATAGAAATCCAGACCCTAAAATCAATCGCAATAAAAAAAAAACCCAACACCCACGATTCAGCGGGAGACGAAGAATCCAATCTCCCATCTCCGGCTTTCACCCACATATTCATCCCCGCGGTACAAAGATGGAGGAACGAGAGAGGAAAACAAGAAGACGAAAGTACCTGGCCACATTGGGCTAATCTCGGAGAACCAACCGGGAATAACGGAGGAGATACCAGGGGTTCCATTATCGTTCTCGGTTTCCATGGCTTCTCCGGTGGCGGCGGTGGCAGAAGCTCCGTTTTCCTCTTCCTCCCTCGGCCTTTTTAACGACAAATCAGTGGAACCTGTCACAGTCTCTTCGGCCATGGTAGATTTCCCTCTCTTTCCTTCTCTGCCCTTATGAGAGTTACCCAAACGACCGAGATTTCGAAGATGCGAATAACTCTCTCTGCTTCTTGGCAATGGGCACTGAGGGTCTGAGACCACACGATCCCGGTCTCCTGCTTTATACAAAGAAACAAATAAACAGCAAATAAAGTAGGTTAGGCGGAGAATATTAAAATAAAGATGTCTTGGGACTTTCCTGAAAGAGAATACTACGTTGAAACTTTATTTTTTTCTTTTTGTAAAGGGGGAAGAATATGTTCCCTAGTTAAAGAAGGAATATTGAAACTTGATAGTCTTTTTTTTAGGCAAAATACTGTATATCCATAACTATCAGGTTTGTGACAAATATATCCACAACTATCAAAATACACGAAATATCCAAAAATCGGAAGGTTGTGTGACAAATCTATCCACTTCCGTCTGAAACTATAACGGCGTGTCAGACTGCATTAAATTGACTAACGAAATGCTGAAGCGATGCCATCTCACCGGCCACATAAGCCAAAAAGCAACCAAACTTTACACGTAGATGCCAAATAGACTAGTTGAATAAAGGCAAAATACAGCTGTATATCCACAACTATCAGGGTTGTGATAAATATATACACCACTATCAGGTCTGTGACAAATATATCCACAACTATCGAAATATCCATTTTCGTCCACTCTGTTAACTCCGTCAGTTAACTTGATGACTGGACATATGTTGGATGCTTAGTTGGCGTGTTTCTGACCCCACTGAATGACGTGGATTAAAAGAGAACAAAAGAATCATGAAACACGAAACACATGCATATGCATTTATATATAGAAAACGACATAATTATCAAACAAAAATGAAAAAGAATATATGACAACATTAAAATAAAATAAGATTAAGATTAATTATTATTTAGAATCGACCATCAGTTAAGGGGTAGTTTAGATACAATAGATACATTTTAATTTTTATTTTAAATTGTTGAATTGTTATGAATCTTTATTATATAAATACATGCATTGATACAATATATAGATGCATTTTGACATTACTTAATTTGGGGGTTGAGATTATAGTTTATAGATTGATTTTCATAAAGTTATTTAATGAAGAAATTTCACAATTGCCCTCCATTTTTAATAGAAAACAAAAACTACAATAGATTATAAGTGAAAAGGAGAAAAATATGTTTGTTAACACCTCTCGAAGAGAAAAATATGTTGCAAAGCAAGTATTGTCAAAAGATACCTCATATGGATGAAGAAATCTCATTGTACTTTTTGCTAGGGATGGCAATGGGGCGGGTTAGGGCGGGTTTTGTCAAACCCAAACCCATGGGTTTATCCGCCAAAAAAATATGGGGTAAAACCCGTTGGGTTTGAAAAACCCAAACCCAACCCCACCCGCTGGGTATCCGCGGGTTCATGGGTACCCGTGGGTTTTTGTGGTAAAAATTTACAATAACAAGTTTCTCTCAAAATAAAAGTTTAACATCAATTTTCTCATACAAATTAATCATACAAAAAACACCAATCTAGAGCATGCAAGCAAACCGCAAATGATCAATACAAATTGTTCAAAATTAAAGATAAACATATATAAATAATAAGATTAATTGAAAGCTTCTTCATCATCAACTAAGTTTCTTCACTCTCCACTTCATAATATCAACTTCATTCTAAACAATTAGAAAGAATAAATTATACATGTCTCCACAAACATATAGAATATTAGTTGTTTAAGGAAGATATATTATTTAGAATATTAAATATACCGTGAAAATAATTATATGTGTGTGGGCGAGTACCCATGGGGAGGGTTTACCTAAACCCAAACCCAACCCAACCCGAAGAATAGTGTAGCGGGTTTAAACCCGAACCCGACCCAAAACCCGTCAACATGGATTTTACCCGCGTTGACCGGATTGGGTCGGGTGGGTACCAGTGGGTTTGGGTTTTGTTGTCATCCCTACTTTTTGCATACATCTCTAAATGATTATAAGCCTCTCGTAAGCTTATCCTTTACCCCCGAAAGAAGAAAAGATACTCGTGCAAATACTTGCACCCAATGTTTATGAAAAAAATGACAATGAAACACATGCATATATACATATGGATGGAAAAAAATCTTAATGTAATTTTTGCATATATCTATGAATGATTGTAAGCCTCTCCAAGGTAAATAAGCTTATCATTTGCCCGCTAAATAAGAAAAGAAACTCGTGCAAATACTTAAAGCCTTTGTTCCTGAGAAAAATGATAATGAAATACATGCATATATACATCTAGCAAACAACATAATTATCAAACAAAAATGAAAATAAATTTATAACCAACGTTAAATAATCAATTAAGGTTAATTATTATGTAGAACAGGTCATCAGTTAACGAGATTGTTATGTGCTTGCCTGACATTCTAATACAGTTTGTGTAGTGTAGCAATTTTTTTTCTAAATTGGAAAAAAGTGAACAAAAAAATATGTTTGTTATCACCCCTCAAAGAAAAACCTGATGCAAAATAAGTATTGTCAAAAATATCTTACATAGCTGAAAAACAAATATTATACTTTTTCCATAAACCTACAAATGATTGTAAGTCTCTCAAAGTTAAACAAGTTTATTTTTTGCCGCCGAAAGAAGAAGAGGGACTCATGCAAATGCTTGCAATCAATGTTCCCGAAGAAAATGATAATAAAACATATGCATATATATGGATGAAAAAAATCTCATTACATACATCTCTAAACGGTGGTAAGCCTCTCCAAGATAAGCAAGTTTATCATTTTCCTTCGAAAGAATAAAAGAGAATAGTGCAAATACTTGCAACCAATTTTCCTGAGGAAAATGACAAGAAAACACATGTATATATACATATGAATGAAAAAAATATTATTTTACTTTTTTGCATAAATCTTTAAACGATTTTAAATCGCTCAAAGATAAGTAAGCTTATCATTTGCCCATGAAAGAAGAAAAGAGACTCGTGCAAATACTTGCAATCAATGTTTCTGAGGAAAATTACAATGAAACACACATATATCTACATCTAGAGAACAACATAATTATTAAAAAAATGAAAAATAATGTAAAATCAACATTAAATAATCAATTAAGATTAATTATTATGTATAACAAACCATCAGTTAACGAGATTGTTATGGGCTTGCTTGACATCTCAATACAGCTTGTATAGTGTAGCAAAAATGTTTCTCAATTGGAAAAATAATAAAAAATATGTTTGTTATCACCTCTCAAAGAGAAAAACATTTTGCAAAGTAAGTATTATAAAAAAATACCTTATATGGATAAAAAAATCTTATTGTATTTTTTGCATACATCTCTAAACGATTGTAAGGCTCTCCAAGGTAAGCAAGATTTCATTTGCCCCCCAAAAAAAAAATAGGGACTCGTGCAAATATTTGAAGCTAATATTCCTGAAGAAAATGACAATGAAACACATGTATATGGACTCATGTCTTAAACCAACAATCACAACTTCCACACAACCACTAACTTGCATTTTCATTAGTATAGAAATGATATATTCATATAATTAAGGGGGGAAATGAACTCACCTTAAATGTTTCAAGAAACAGAAATATATTTCATGATATATTTGATTTGTAAAACCAACTCGGTGAACTATAAACTCTAGCATATTTGCTACATCATTGCAATCCTTACTCCGGTTATTGTTAAGAGTAGAATGAGGAGTTGTTGGTCAGAGTCCCACAAACTTCACGACTCTATGGTCAACAAATACGATATTCCTTCCATCAAAGAGATTGTTGTGGACTTCCTTGACATCCCAATACAGCTTGTGCAATGTAGCAAAAATGTTTCTAAATTTGAAAAATACAAACAAACAAAAAATATGTTTGTTATCGCCCCTCAAAGAGAAAAACATGTTGCAAAGTAAGTATTGTTATTAGATATCTCACATGAATGAAAAAATTCATTGTATTCCCCCGGTAGTTTCAACATTATAAATGCGAAGATTGATTTCGAAACTCCTAGAAACCAAACAACTGCTTAACCATGATTGTATTTGTAAAATGGTGCAAACACGTGGTAGAAATTGTAAGAGGGGAATGTGACGATTCCTTATTGATTAAGACACGACATTGTATAAATACTCATTGCTCTTTGAAATGCTTCGTCCTCAATTGCTTAAATACTCATTGGTCTTGGGTTTTATTTTTGTAGATACTTTAGTTTCCTACCTTTTGTAAAGTACTTTGTATAAGAAGGATTTGTCAGGTTGGTCTCTTTTGTAGAAACGTTTTTTACTTTGAAGGGGGATCCTTGTGGTAATTGCTACCAATGCTATCAATTAAGAAATGAACATAATTCTTGCTCTCCTTTATAAAAGAGAAGAGATGGAGGGTGGATGATGGAGCTTTGTAGTGATTTTGTTGTAACACCCGAGCTCGTTCGAGCACTAGTTTTACCAAAATACCATTTACAATCAATAATATTTAAAATATAAACTGCAACAGAAATATTATAGTAAAAATAGTAGACATAAAAGTCATCATAGCTTAAAATAAAGCCCTAACACTTGGACAAATCTTAAACCATGTACTCTTAATATCAAAACTCTTAACCTTCATTCTGTAATCATAAATGTACAGTACAATAACTAGAAAAACCTATGTGTCTACGTGCATGGATCTGAGCTCTAGCGTCCTCAGTGACTCTCACACTATGATTCTCTAGCTGGCTGCCCTCAACCTGCTCGCTCTACGACTGGTTGCTCTCTCAGTCCTCCTCTATGACCTTATGAGTGGGTTGGGGTCTGTCTACACCATTACTTAGAGACTCGAAGCACCTAAGGTTATTTCCCTAGGTTTTCACCTCAAAACTTGTGGAAGTTGTTTATACTTTCATCCTTTAAATTTTAACTCTTAAAATGCGGGAGTTGGAGTTACTCGCCACCCTTGAAAACTTAAACATTAGACCGTCTCTGGGATCTCAACACAAACTAAATCCAGCCTCCCATCTCATACGTATGAGGGCCAACCTAGACCTAACCTTAAATCTTTAACCTCTGTGGGAGTCTTATTGATTCATCCCCATAATCCTTTAACCTTAAGAGCATGTTGTGCTCTTCCTTTAAACTTTCACTAGGATGCGTGATTGGTGTTAGTGAACTACCTCAACTTAGCTGACGCCACTACTAGTCTTCCTTATTTAAACACGGCTACCCTCACAATAGAGTGCCCCTCAACATGAGTTATGATCATCGCAAAACATATCACCACCTGCTGTCAAAACTGAGGTATGTTTACTGCACAACGGATCACCATCCAGTAGCATACCTATACGTAAGCAATGGAGACCAATGGGTATACGTCGATGCTCGCCCACGACCAATGGGATTTTGGCCGATACAAGAGCTCAATCGAGCTTGGTTTCTCGACAAAGCTCTTAACCAAAAACTAGCTTTGAACACGTAGTTTTTAGGGTTTTCAATCTTAATCAAACTCAACTGTCGATTACAATACCTTCGTAGGTCTTAAATAGAACTTACAAACAACCTTAAACGCAAAGGAAACCCAAAATAAACAAGGAAAACGAAAACAATCCAAACCCTAAAGCAATACGGAAACTTATAACGCTAGTAAAAGCACAGTTTTGATGTCATTTTCAAAGCCCTCGTTTGCAGCCTTTCAATTGTTGAATCGATCACCCTACCCCTTGCTTCTGTACTAGTAAGTACAAGCTTTCATGTGGTATGAGCCTTGAAATGTGATTCCCAGCAAGTTGTTGTGAATTGGACTCCAAAGTGACATGCCTGCAACTGCTCCATGCCTTAGGCAATTCCTGGTAGTTTGCCTGTGTTGCCATGGGGTTTTAACGAGCTTGAAAATAACACCTCCTAGCCTTCTCTCGAGGTCCCAGACATCCCCATTTGTTTAGCAACTTGCAAGATTCAAAACAAACCCTTCCAATCCAATTTCCATCAAGCCAAACGCAAGAAACATGCTTGTAAAGAGCGCTACCCGAAACATCTTCAACACTTAATACAAAAACCCTAGTTCTTCGCCATTTCAGAGTGGCAGACTTAAAAAAAAAAAAAAATGGGTCAAACGGACTCGGTACCGTATTGGGCTTTCGAAATTCCGAAGGAAGTCCAGAAACCCTATCAGTCCAGCCAAATATATAATCTCTCTGTATTCATTCCATCCTATCGCCATAAAACCCTCACATCCAGCAGCTTCGCTATTCCGTTCTGGTCACTCTCCAATATCTGCACAGCCATGGCGCAAACCCTAGCTCGTTCCTTCACCTCCTCTCGTCATCTCACCCTCTCCTCGCTCATCCCTAAACGACTCTTCTCCTCTTCCACCTCGTCGATCACTCGTCCTCCTTCTCCTGCCACGCTTCTCTTCTCCCGTCGTCCTCTGCTCCCGATCTCCCATGCCGTCCGCTCCGTCATCCCCGTATCTGCCCCTCGTTACACCGCGATTCGCTGCCGGGTCAATCGCTCCGGAAACTCGTACTCCCCGCTGAACTCCGGCTCCAACTTCAACGAGCGTCCTCCCACAGAGATGGCCCCGCTTTTCCCTGGCTGCGACTACGAGCACTGGCTCATTGTTATGGACAAGCCGGGCGGCGAAGGAGCCACCAAGCAGCAGATGATCGATTGCTACGTTCAGACGTTGGCCCGTGTCCTCGGCAGGTGAGATTGTTTTCTCTTTTTTCTGTTTAGCATCGACGGATGGTTTGTGTGCTCGTTTGGTTTATTTACTTTCATTTCTGATTCGAATCAGCGAGGAGGAAGCGAAGAAGAAGATATACAACGTTTCTTGTGAGAGATACTTTGGGTTTGGATGTGAGATTGACGAGGAGACGTCTAACAAGCTGGAAGGTTTGTTTTCTGGTTTTGTTGAATAGGGATTGAACTGGAGGTTGCTTAGTTGCATTGCAATGTATTCAATTGTGCCCTTGTATGTTTGTTTCAACAGGATTGCCCGGTGTTCTCTTTGTGTTGCCTGATTCTTATGTCGATCCTGAGTACAAGGACTATGGCGGTAAGCCCCTCTATGAATTTTTGTTTTCTGTACTGTTGTGTGTTGCTTTGTGTTGAAGTATGGATCTTCTGTGTTGATTTGAAATACATAGTATTGAAATGTAATTTCATAGCATTTGCTCCCATGTCAGTTGGCCTACTACCTACTGTTAGTGTCCTGTTATTGCTAAACGTTTATCCATTGTTTCATTTGTGATCTACCATGTTTAATTTAATCCATCTTGGCCAAGCTTAGAGGACTGAATTTTGGGCAATGTAAGCACACCACCATTTTGATAGGTTAAGTAGATTTAGTCCATCTTGGCAAAGCTAATAGCTGCTCAAGTAGCAATGCTTAGCTTTGAATGCTAATGGACTGATATAATATGTTCCATTTCTTCCTGTTCTGTTCCTCTTGAACTTCAATGTGGTATTCAGAATCATAGGGCTGGTACAATCAAATTTTAATTCTGAAACTATTTGTCAAATGTATAAGCAAAGCCTTAAAAATACTCACCCTTTTGATAGGCAAAGTAGTTTAGTCCATCTTGGCAAAGCTAATAGCTGCTGAAGCTAGCAATGTTTAGCTTTGAATGCTAATGGACTGATACCATGTTCCACTTCTTCCTGTTCTGATCCCCTCGAATTTCAATGGGGGATTCAGAATCATAGGGGATGGTACAATTAATATGTGGTTCTCGAACTAGTTGTCAAATGTATGGATTAAAAAGTTAAGGACACCCCTTTTGATAGGCGAAGTAGCTTTAGTCCATCTTGGCAAAGCTAATAGCTGCTCAAGCTAGCTATGCTTAGTTTTGAATGCTAATGGACTGATATCAGACTCCAGTCCTTCCTGTTCTGTTCCTCTTGAATTTCAATGGGGGATTCAGAATCATAGGGGATGGTACAATTAATTTGTGTTTGTGGAACTAGTTGTCAAATGCATGGATCAAAAAGTTAAAGACACTCACCCTATTGATAGGTGTAGTAGCTTCAGTCCATCTTGGCAAAGCTAATAGCTGCTCAAGCTAGCTATGTTTAGTTTTGAATGCTAATGGACTGATATCAGACTCCACTCCTTCCTGTTCTGTTCCTCATGAACTTCGATGGTGGGTTCAGAATCATAGGGGGGATGGTACAATTAATTCGTAAATCTGGTATTAGCTGTCAAATATATAGCTGAAGTATTGTTGAGTTCATATTGAATGTTGAGGTGAAGGTAAATAGGAATGGATGGAATGTGTAGCGTGTTGGTTGTTGATGCTTTTGGTTTGTGTTTGTGCTTCGTGCAGCTGAGCTGTTTGTGAATGGGGAGATAGTTGCTAGATCCCCAGAGAGGGAGAGGAGAGTACAGCCCCAGCCGCAAAGAGCCAACGATCGGCCACGATACAATGACAGAACTAGATATGTACGCCGCAGGGAACAACAACGGTGATCTGAAACAAGAAGTTGGTTGGATGTTTTCAGCTCTTGAACTGAACTGGTGTTGGTTGAACTTAACTATCCCTGCTTCAATGTGATAAAATTAGTTTTTATTTTTATTTTTTTTTATTTGTGGGAGGCGACTCTTGAGTCTTAGTTATCCCTCTACTTCCATGTGATAAAGTAGTGTGACCTCGACTCTTGGGACTTGAATGTGAACTATTATGTGAACTATGTGGTATATACTGTTTATCTTTAAGCTAGCGGTGGTAAAATGTGACCGATTGTTAACCCTAAAATTGAAAATCGATAATCTCACACTTTTCTCTCGGTACCAAGCCAAATTATCATGGGTAAATGCGAGAGCACTGTGATGGATAGCCCCTCCCCAATTATTAACGTTCAAATTAGCCCCGAGGTAGAAGCAAACTATGGAGGTCAAATGAGGGGGAAGCAGTCAGCCGCGTGACAAAAACAAAGGACAAGAGGGCAGGAAGCATGGCTCGAGTAGCTCCCAGATGGGCAAAGTGCAGCTGCAGCTCCAGTGGCGGTGACTCGGCAGCCTGCAACAAACGCGGGTCAGGGCAACCAACGGCCAAAAGCCGACGAGGGAAGGAGCAACTCAACTCTAGCGCAGCTATCCCGACTCTGCAGGTTGGCGGGCCAAGGAGGCTGCTCCAAAGGGTCGAGTTGGTCAGTGGCCTCATCCAAAGCCTAATCTAGTGGCAAAGCAGGTCGTAGTGGCCAATGCAGTCAAGAGCGCGATTTCATGTAGAAACGTTTTGATGACCTAGAAACGTAAAATCGTAAGCTTTTAAGTTTTAAAGCGTAGATTTTGACTACATTTATAAGGAAAAATGTGATTCTACTTAGAAGCGCTTTGGTGGCTTATAAGTGTAAAGCGTAAGTTTTAAAGCGCGATTTTGACTGCATTGGTAGTGGCCCAAAACAAGAACAAAGAGAGCTCGGGGAGTACTGAACTGGGGTGAAGCCAAGTGGAACAAGTGCCATCGAGAATCTCTCGGAAGCTGCTAGAGGGATGACGTTTAGATCGAAAGAACCATGAGCATCATAGCATGATTGTAAACAAAAGAATGTGGTGTTCAAGATATCGGCTACTGAAGACATGGAGGACGACGACAAGAAGAGGACGATAGAGATGGTGGAAGGTTTGGACCCAGACCCGACTCCAACAAAAAAGGCTTGTGTGGAGGTTCAAGTTGCAAAATTTATGGAAATGGTGCAGGGAGTCAGTCGGGAGTGACCGCAATCAACCAAATGAAACTGCTCACGTGGATGTATTACAATATTTTTTGGGCTAATACCACTGGGAAGCCCGAGAAAATGTCACTTGTGTCCTGAACTATTCAATATGACATTAATGTCTCGAACTATTTTTTCGTAAGTGTTGACCGAGTTTGTCCGTCAATATTTAACATAAAATTCAGTCAGTGTCGACGTGACATCTTATATGGAATTTTAAATATGAAAGTATATAAATGACACACAACTATCATATATTGATATATAAATGGAATATTGAATATTTCGGGACACAAATAACACTTTCTTGATAGTCCGGGTTTTCCAGTGGTATTAGCCTATATTTTTTAAGTGTTATTCGTCTTCATAAGTTTGATTTTATTTTCTTTCGGAAACTCATTCCCGTAGGAAAGTTGTTTTCAGTAAGACGATGCATGGCTTAGGTTTTAATCATTTTTCTCTCTTGTTCATGTTGTTGAGTCTGTAGGCGGTCTCGCAGTCGATTGACTCCCAAGAACCTCGCTTTTGGTTTTGTGTAATTCGTCATTTTATGTTTCGGTGGGAATTTAGAATAATGATCATGTCCAATATGTCGTTCTATTCGTGTATATTAGTCGTGTGGCTGGCACTAGAGCGTCGCAGAAGGGGGATCGAAATACATCCTACTTCCATGAAGTCACACGGGCGCGTACAAAGCATACTTGGTTGAGGGGTTGCAGAATGAGGCAGGTGAGTGGGTGAAAGATGAGAATGGGAGACCAATTTCATTTCACAGTTGTTTACTTCGGAAATGCAGCACGGGGATTTGGAGGACCGGGTCACAACACTCCCATTACATAGAAGGGTCACATATAGAATGAATGCAGTGCTCACGGTGGAGGTCTTTCTCGAAGAAGTTGACCGTATTATTGGTCGAACCCCATGCGGATCATGTCAATTGTTTGAATAGCCTGACTAACTACCCCATTTCAAGCCAAGTATAACTCAAAATGGCGTTGCTAGTATAGTGGCGACCAAGGTCGTAACTAAGGGTTTCGATACCCTTGGTTACTTCTCATGTTGTTGTCATCTAGCTAAATGGTTTAGTTTGGTTTCGGAGGTCAATTGAAAATACTAGTGGAGAAAGCAAGGATACAAAGCAGGTACTTCGGGGTAACTCCCTCGCTCTAAACATAGGTTCATCATGCAAATGGTTAACTGTGTTGGGTTTGCAAGATAAGGTGTATAACTCACTCAACTGAGGGTTTCAATGATTACTTCCCTCCTCCTAGTACGCTCCCAGAGACCCATTGTCACCTTAGTCAACGCTCACGTACTAGGGATGACAGCTTAGTCCCTCTCAATAGGTTCAACCTATCATGCATACTAAAGCGATGGATCGATGATGCTTGCATCATCTCTAGCATTGTTCAAAAGGGCATTCCTCTGGCAGGGGTTCAGTGTTTATCTACCCCTAATTAGCCATAAGGCGCTAAAATATAGTCTAGCTTTTAAACTCCTAACTTGTTCAAAAGATTTAGTGGTAGGCTAGAATAGAAGAGTTGCAGAGACAAGCTCTGACATAATAAAGCATAAATGAAGCATATAATCACCAAAACAAACAAATCCATACACAAACCCTAACACAATTACATCTACAATCAAAACTTCCAGGGTTTGGAGATTTTAACCCCTAGTATCTTAGATTACTACTCTATAAAGGAGGGAAGAAGATACATGTAGAGAAATAGAAAAAGAATTGAATTGGGGAGAGATCCCTTCCTCCGTGACTCCTCCTTCACCTTTTCTCCTTCCTTAAGCTTCTATCTCTACTTTCTCTCTCACAAAGCAGAAAATTCTCAATTGATTTCAGCTCCCAAATGAAGGGGGAGGAACCCCGCTATTTATAGATTTCAGGACATCGGGCAAGTTCATGGTTGAATTGGGAAACATGGAGAGTATGATATGGGAAGGAAAGTTCACAATCTCGAGCTTTGCCATATTGCACTTTTATGGTTAGGAAGTTTGCGATCCGAATTCACGGGCGCGATTGATGAATCGGGCCGCAATCATCCTCTCGGGCTTGGATGAAGAGGGTCATGAGTCGACTATTATGACTCTCTTTTCCTTCCTTGTTGGCTCCTCCAAAAGTTCGCGCATGAGGCCTCCAACTTTGCGACCGTGATCTTGACACTGAAGGTTGCGATCTTGGTGCTCAGCTTCACGCCCTTTGTTCCCGACCGTGATCAATTATGCCTTGCCATGATCTTTTGTTTTTGCATATTTCTCTACACTTGTTCCCTCTTTTGATACCTAGAACATTCATATAATCAAATACACCTTAAAATGCTAATATTTACTCCAAGGAATGAATAAAGGGTATACTTGATGATATATAGGTCGTGAAGAGCATGAAATGACTCAAAAAGAACCTAAATACTAAATAACACCATTTTTGGGTGTTATCAACTACCTCAAAATTAGGTGTTTGCTTTTCCCCAAGAAAACCTGCTCAAACAAGTACAACTTAATAAACAATCAACATGGTATTCAGTATAGTTCTTCGTTGCACTAGTTAGAATAGTCAGGGTCGAGTGAATGTTACCCCCATCTCACTATAGAAACACAAACTTCGGATGAGGACATTGTCGACTAAGTAGGTCAAGACATTCAAGGTGTACACCGGAGGACTCTCAAAAACAATAAAGGAAATGGACTCTTTGAAGGTTCTCTTTATTCTCTCTTTTCAAGGTAGTAGTCAATTTTTGATTCTCTCTTTTAAACATTGTCGTAGTTGGCACCAAATATTTGCAATTTTGAAAATAGGCATCTCTCCCTTGTGACTAAGAGCGAAATGAACATTTTCTTCCCTATCAATGCCCCATGTGGGGAACATGATTGTCTGATTCATTGCCCGAGCACCACTTCATAACCTGCACTCCACGTCTCAATGACATTATGCCTGGTTTCGTCCCACGTGAGAACCTCATTTTCAAAAGATATTTTTTCCAAAGTTGAGCACATTTTGCAAACAATTTTTAGCCCAAAATAGGTAGAAAGTCCCGCACACATGTCTTTATCTAAGTAGCAAACATTATCAACTCACCAAAGAGGAAGATAAGAGTAAAATCCTCATACACTGAAAACTCTTGTAAATGCTAACTACTCCCTATAAAACACACCATATAGACTATCTAGCCATTCAAAACACATTGAGGAGGTATATGCTAGGGACAAGATGTTTGGAACCCTGCAAGTTGAAAAAATTTGGGTATATCATCAAGGTTCCAAACACAAATTCTAAGCCATTCAACACCACAAAACACAACTAATCGATAGCAAACACTCCAATACACAATCATCAACGTCTTACATTCATAATCATAGTGAGGCTACTACCAACTATGGTAAAATAATCATGAACACTCAAACATACATAGAAATTCCCCCACACTTATGAGACACACTGTCCTCAATGTGGGAGAATAGAGATAGGTTCACAAATCGTTACCATGGGATGTTTTACTGGGTTGATGTAGGTGTACAGCTGTATGTCTTGGTCTTCTTAGTTTTTATAGAATGATAAAGTCCATTAGCAAAAGAGAAAAATGAAGGTTATGGGGCACAAAATAACATAGATAAAAAAGATATAAATGTTTAATACTACTACTACTAGGTAATTAAAAGTAGGTTATCTCTAGCTCAGTTGATCGTTGAGGTTGTCGGGTGGTAAGTCGGTTGATGTGTCGCCTCTTCCTCTTGCATGTCTTCTTCTTGTCCTTCCTCACCACCCACATTCATTGTCTCTCTCGTTGCACGCTGGTTGGTTGGCATCGGAAGACGGAACACCGTACCTTCCAATCCAATGTATTCAATGTAGTTAAATGCGAGTTTCTATGTAGAAACGTTTTGGTGAACTAGAAGCGTAAAATCATAAGTTATTAAGTTTTAAAGCAGAGTTTTTAACTACATAAGTTATAAAAACTGAGATTTTGTGTAGAAGCGTGTTAGTGAACTAGAAACGTAAAATCGTAAGTTTTAAAGCGCGATTTTGATTACATTCTTCGTGAGTGGGAAGGGAAACCTTGGAGTCCCCATATACCTTCCTTTCTTGGGAGAAAGACCTAGATCCTTGACTTTAGGGTTTCGAAATAAATAGGAGTGGTCCTAGTGTCCATTCAAAATTCAATCGCCCCAAACCCAACCCCGAATTAACGGGTGAGTCGAGTGATATATGCTCCACTGTGTAACGCAACAAGTCGATGATCTTTTTCACATCTCTTCGGTGTGGATAGAATCGCTAAATCGAGGTGTAAGACCTGAGGAGTATGAATGATATGAAGGAATGTAATGTCTCGGGCAGTCAGATTGCCCTTGTTCTTATACTTTCCACCCACGGACCTAGTAACCACGTGGTGGATCAACCTCCATTCCGTCTTCATCTCACTAGCCTTTGAATATCTGACATTCCATAGCCGGTTGCCGGTATCCTAGACTTCGGATTCGTAAAATGCCTTGAAGTAAGGAAAACCGCTTTCTCTAGTCAAGGTAGCGGAGTCGTCCAATGAGTCCACAAAGTCCGCCGGAAATATATCTAAAGCTGATGTGAACTCCCGGATCGACATCTGGCGATGTTCTCCTCTGAGTCCGAACTCAATGTTGTTCTCTAGATCTGTAGCACCGCTGAGATATTAAATAGTAAGGGTGTTAAGAAACTCCAATACAAGCACTCTATAAATCATCTCTTACAAGCTCAACAACTTCAACCACTTTGGTTTGTTGATTCTTACCCGTATGGCTTCCCCAATCTCGAGTTGGTCGAAGGGTGTCCAGTTGTGACAAGTGCTCTCGCCTAAGGGAAGGTCTTGGAGACATATGAGTTTGGTGGTGAAGCGCTTCGGAATAGCATCTAGAAAGGCATGAGTAAAATGTTCCAAAGCAACTCTAGTTCATTCATGTTCCACTAGTTGATTTACAAGAGGTTCCTCCAAAGGTGGTGGTTGATGTGGAAGAGGGTTTTCAATTTCAAATTCTTTTTTGTCGGGATTTACTCCTTTTCTTCTTTGAAAAATGGCGGGTGCTAAGAGAGTTGGAGTTCCCCATGCATTGGGAGTTCTCTTCTCGGACCATGCCCTTATGCTTGCTTGATACCCTACAAAAGAAGTGTAGGACAATAGGTACTTGAACACCATCGATCCACTCACAACTATAATTGAACTTCTAATGCTATCCTGGACATCATCCATGCACCCCCCACACGTAAGTGAGGCAATGTACTAAAAAGGGAAAAACATAGATGGAGAGGATTAGATAAGTCGACATAAATGACACACATTCTTTACAAAGAAGCATAAGTATTCATGCAAGGTTCATCAATAAATATACAAGTTCAATTGTAAAGTATAAGATCAAAGAAAATGAAAGTTATGTGCTTAGGGAATTTCTTCGAACACTTGGTGGGCAGACTTGAAAAACCCTAAAAATCATGAAAAATTGGCCCAACAAGGTATCCCAACGCACATAGGATGTTAATAAAGCGTACAAATCAATCCTATTGTCAAAAGAAATTATGTCATAGCATATGAAAGTACCAAAGCTCACATTGCACTCAAACACATTTTGACCTAGCTAAAGTACCAAAGTGATAGAAAAATGGAAAATAGTACCTTAACTTGTTTGGGGACATGTTATAATTCAAGAGATTAAACAATACTTCAATAATGATACTTAAAAAAATGAAGTGAAATAAAGTATGGTTAAAAAGGGTTCAAAAGAGCTTTGGGAACATGGTTTTTAGAAAGTCATTGGGGAAGAGAGCACATGAATGAAGAGTGCATCTCCCCTTAAATAGGCATGGACAAGATCGCGGTCGGGGTCAAAAGATCTCGACCGTGATCTTTGGCTTTGCAAAGATCAATTATCACCATACTTAATGATTGCCAACATCTAAATGCAACATTCATTCAAATAATTGAAACAAGGCATGAGCTAAGGATCTATCATTCATCATCTAAGCTAATCAATTTCTAACTTTAACACCTTATTTAAAAGAAAAGATAAAGATACACAAACTGAAATTGTTGGGTGCTTCTAGCTTTCGACAGGAAATGTGGTGGGCTTGCCCCTGCTAAATTTTGTGGTATTCTTCAAGCGTTTCCTTGAACGTGATTTCGTGAGGCAGAGAGTGGTTAAGCTTGTGCTTGTCTTGTGGCATATCTGGAATAGCAGAAACTACGTGTTTTTTCAGGAGAAGTAAGTGGCGGATTGAATAAGCCTTCCCGAATGAGTGTCTAGGAGTAGGACCTTGAGTAAGCGTCATGACCGGGTTGGAGTTCCATGAGGGAATCAATTACAGATAGTATGTTTCTCTAATGGAGTTGTTTATAGGGAGTTCTCACTTGACAATGGGTATGGTTGTCCATGATGGGACAGGGGAAGTGATTTTGGCTAGGGGTGTCATTTATGAAGGGTTAGAGGAGTCATTGCTAATAGAGCTGGTCGCACTCAGCAATGCATTAGTGCATTCAAAATGGGTTTTCAGGCGATGGTATCTGAAGGTGAAGTGAAGGTGGTTATTGATAATGTGGGGGAGTAACACAAGATCATAGCAGAGGTGCCATCTATTAAGATCTTCATCGACTACTTTTGGAGTTCCCGGAGATGACAATATGGTTTGTTGGCAGACAGAACAATAAGGGCATAAGGTAGCCCATAAAGTGGCTAAAAAAGTCTTACCATTGTTTCCTATAATTGTTAATGGTTTTGATTTAGCAGGGGTGGGCAACGGGAAACATGTATTTGGATATACCCATACCCATTTTTTTTTTAGATTACGGGTACCCAAATACCCGTAATATTTATAACTGGATGAGACTTGGGATTGAAATTTTCAAAATTGGGTACCCGGAAGTTACCCGCTAATACCCGTTTGGGTAGTATGGGTACCCGTTATACCCAATACATAGCCATTAGCAATGATTTTCCATTCAACACAGTGTACAGTGTTTGAAACAACCCCAACATAGGGGTTCCCATTTAAAGATACAACCCTTATCCTAGGAAATGACATTCTTATATCCTTCAAATAAGTGAAGCTTGAACAAAAATGCACCTTCATGTTCAAGACCATTGATCGCTGAAAATCCTTTTACAGGAGGGTCCCGTCTACAACTTGTTTGGTAACGACATCTCTTCTTGCTGCAGGTGGCGGCATTTCTTCTTGCTCCAGGTGGCGGTTGATTAGTCATTTTCACGGTGCAAGTTTTTTTTATTATCTAATTTTGTTACTCTTCAACGGATATATATGGCTAGTTTGGGTACCCGTTACTCGTTCCGTACAGGTTCAGGACATGAGATGGACTATTCCATGAGAATGAATACCCATTTTAAATGAGATGAGTACTCGTCCCGTCCTGTTTTCCACGCCTGACTTCTGAGTCCTTAACTTTATATCTATGTGTTTGTTTTTTTTTTTTTTTTGGTTCGGATGTATCTCTGTGTTCTTAATAAGTTATCTTTTGCAAAAGGATAATAATAATAATATCTTAAAATATATTAAAGAGGATTAAGATTAAGACCCCCTCCACGTCAGCCTTAAAAGCCTGACCGCAATTTTCGGTAATCGAGTTTTTTTTTAATTTTAATTTTTTTTTACCATTCGCGTTCGCCTCTATGTCTTTTTTTTTTTGTTCAGGAAAACTACTCATATTTTTTTTTATCCTCTTTAAACCGTCTCCTAGAGGCTAGACTCCTCCTTGCACTAGGTTTTTCTCTTTTTTCTTTTTGATCAATTTATTTTGGATGGAGATATGGGAGGAAAGAGATGATGAAATAAATTATAATTATTTGTGATGATTACTTATCCTCAATAATAATAATATAATTCATCTAAAAAATAATCATAATATTTTTTAATATTTTTAATCAAAAATATGTTTTAAAATATTAATGGTAAATTAATCAAGAGTTCATTTGGAGAATGAAATCCAAAGTATAGATTCATAAAGTTTAGAGATTTAACGAATATGGTTTCTTTCTCCATTTTATATGTGTATTGTAGGTTTAGAGGTTACAAATTCTAAAATCTCGATATATCATAAATAGATATATTTTGTATATAGATTCACTCACTAACATATGTTAAATAATCCTTACTATTTGGATGGGAGGATTGGCCATCAATGCATGTACGATTCTTTCTCATAGATTGATCGGCCGCAAGACGACAGTATATGCCCACCAAACTTTCCCCGAAGAACTTTATCAAGATGGACGGACCTTCTGGTGTTTCTTTTTAAATTTAATTATAAGTTGAGATGCGAGATTTCTTTTTCTTTTCGTGGTGTCTCTAGGCCTTTATTTTTGTGATGGAAACTAATTGTGTGGTTTTAGAAAATTATTGCTTTGATAATCATATTACACATATACACATAAATTAAAAGTTACCTGCCCAAAGGGCAGGGTTAATGCTAGTTAATAAATAAACGTTTCTATAGAACAAACGAACCGATCATATCGGCCCGAAGTTAAGCGTGGTATTCTTGTATAAGCCCAACTTTGTTGATTCTATGGTGAAAAGTGGCCCAAACTAATATAAGCCTAGACTACATTTCTTTTTATCTGCTGTCCCGAACCCGAAGGGACAGGCGGACAACCCAGACCACTTTTCATTCTAACCGACATTGCGTTTTTATATGTACTTTTGGGGCTTCGACTTCTCTGATCTCTCCCTTACTTTCTTTCTCCCTCGTAAAGAGATTAGGGTTCTTGATTTCTCCCGAATCAATCTGCCATTACTTGGCAGAGGACTCTCTGCTGTGATTTTACCCTCTCGCCATCGTCTGCTGTGGTGTTTCATTCTTATCCGGCTCCTCAGCGCCATCTCGTTTTAATTATAAGCGTTGAATTCAGTTTCTCTTCTCCGATTGATTGGTTCGCCGGATAAACCTAAAAGTCTGGGGCAGAAGCTTCTTCGTGTGATTCTGTGGTGAAAAATGGTTAGTTGAATCGTTTTTTGCTTCTCTTTCTTTATTGGTGGTTTCGTCGGTTTAACTTACGGCAGAGCTATGGTTATTGTCAAGCAACCGAAACTAACCATCTTTTTGGTTTCTGTCTTTTTTTTCCCCCTGGCTCCGTAGGCAACACTAGCAGATTCTTTCCTTGCAGACCTTGAAGAATTATCTGACAATGAGCTTGAAACTATCGTGAGTGAACTTCTCTCTATTTCCTTTGTCCATAGAAGGAGTTTCAATTTCCATTGGAGCATGTTTTCCGTCTTTCGGTATTGCGACTCTCCTTGAAATTGATTCTATAGCCTGGTAGGAGATGAAGCATGATAATTGATAAAAGTTATGTTTCGTGGCTTTTGTATTTTGTAAAGAACAACATCTTCTGATATCTAACTTCACAGAATGTTGTTGTCTTTAATTAGGAAGAAGAAGATGGCGATGTGGCCAACATGGAAGAAGATGTTGACGGGGATTTGGCAGACATCGAAGCTCTCAATTATGACGATCTGGATTCCGTGTCGAAACTCCAGAAGACACAGAGATACAATGATATCATGCAGAAAGTAGAAGAATCAATGGTGAAAGGCTCTTTCACCACAGACGAGGGGATGGTCTTGGAAGATGATCCTGAATACCAGCTGATTGTGGATTGTAATGCGTTGTCCGTGGACATCGAGAATGAGATTGTTATTATCCACAATTTTATTCGTGATAAGTATCGGTTGAAGTTCCCTGAGCTGGAGTCGCTTGTGCACCATCCGATTGACTATGCTCGTGTGGTGAAGCGAATTGCTAATGAGATGGATTTGACACTCGTTGATTTAGAAGGCCTTCTGCCCTCGGCTATCATCATGGTTGTTTCAGTGACTGCATCAACCACAAGTGGTAAACCTCTTCCCGAGGATGTGCTCCAAAAGACTATTGATGCCTGTGATCGAGCTCTCACTCTGGATTCTTCAAAGAAAAAGGTTCTTGATTTTGTGGAGAGTAGAATGGGGTACATTGCACCAAATCTTTCAGCTATTGTTGGGAGTGCTGTGGCAGCAAAGCTAATGGGCACCGCTGGTGGTCTCTCTTCGCTGGCCAAGATGCCTGCTTGTAATGTTCAACTTCTTGGAGCCAAAAAGAAAAACCTTGCAGGCTTTTCTACTGCAACATCTCAATTTCGTGTGGGCTATATTGAGCAAACTGAGATATTTCAGAGCACACCACCATCGCTGAGGATGCGTGCTTGCCGATTGTTGGCTTCTAAATCTACTCTTGCAGCCCGTGTAGATTCCACCAGAGGAGACCCTTCTGGAAGTGTTGGAAGAAAACTGCGTGAAGAAGTTAGCAAAAAAATTGAGAAGTGGCAAGAGCCGCCTCCTGCCAAGCAGCCTAAGCCACTTCCAGTTCCTGATTCCGAACCTAAGAAAAAGAGAGGAGGGCGTCGTCTTAGGAAGATGAAGGAAAGGTAATTATACTGCTTGTATTTTATCCTCAATTGTTTTGTCCATACGGTGGGTCTGTTCCTGATTTTTAACATCATCAGTTTCTTATTGCAGATATGCAGTGACAGACATGCGGAAGCTTGCTAACAGGATGCAGTTTGGGATTCCTGAAGAGAGTTCTCTAGGTAAATAATCTCTTATCCTTGACGACTCGACGTATTTTATAATATTTGTTGATACGACATCCTAGAAGCTGGATCACATTTCTTTGGATGGAAGCTAGGATCTTTAGTGCCTTTTTGATTTGTCTTTAAAGTCAGGGAAGTAAATTCCTGGCTTTTGTTATGGTGCACCAATACCACTCGTTATATGGGGAAGTACGTTCCTGACTTTTGGTATGGTGCTTGGCCATAGGCGATGGGCTAGGTGAAGGATATGGAATGCTTGGTCAGGCTGGAAGTGGAAAGCTTCGAGTGGCAGCTGGGCAGAGCAAACTCGCCGCGAAAGTTGCTAAGAAGTAAGCCTCTATAGTTGTCTCCTTAAGTTTACTGCTAATGCGATATCGCTCACTGGAAGCTCCTCCTCGCACTAGTCTAAATTTGTACCATAACTTTGGTTTCAGATTCAAGGAGAGGCAGTTTGGCAGCGGTGGTGCTACTTCCGGGCTGACGTCGAGCCTGGCATTCACTCCAGTGCAGGTTTGTTTTTACACTCGCGCTTAATCTCCGTAGCTGGGATGATAGTACCTTGTCGACGAAGGTGAGTTTATTACGGTGATGCTAACAATTGCCGATTGCATTTTGACAGGGGATCGAGCTGAGCAATCCACAAGCTCATGCACATCAACTGGGCAGTGGAATCCAAAGTACCTACTTCTCCGAAACCGGCACGTTTTCGAGGATCAAGAGGACATGACATGCACCGAGGCGCTGGATATCAACGTTCACAATGTGTAAGATGGATAGGAGGCTGGCCTGAGCCTGAGAGACTTGACATCAATCTTTATGGAGGAATACAATCGACTACCTTTCTTCCTAAGGATTGAGATGTAATGAAGTTGAAACTTGAAATGGTTTGATTTCACGAGCCGCAACAGGCAAGACACGGAACTATGTGCTGGCCCAGCATGACGAATTTTACGGGGCGTAATGGGTCTGCGACTCTAGATCTATTGTTTCTTTTTTGATCGTTTTTATTATGAAAACAAAAAGTGAAAAAAGGTTTCTTGATATGCAAAATAAGTGTACGTGCTAACTCGTTGCTCAATTGGCTTTGGGACTCTCCGTATGTCGCCATGATTGAATTATCAAACGGGTAAATTGCAAGTTTGGTCACTAGAATAGTAGAATTACTATACAAGTTTACCCGAGTGATTTAGGCAGACCACTGATCCCATAAGCTAATAAACTCCTCATCCTTGATGCTCCACGATCACATTAGAGTGGTTACAATACTCAGATTATGATTCAATTATGCTTTATTGAGTTCTTCTCCCCAATCTCAATATTTTTTCTTGTTTTTATTCCTCATGATTGATCATTGATTTAGCCTAAGTATGACAAGAATATTCACTTATATATTATAGATAAGCAATGTAAGAAAACTGATTTTCTAAGATATTTTTCAGGATTAATGGCATGGTTGGTTACTGAGATTACAAAAAAAGTTCAAGTTTGGTCACTCAAAATATTTAAATTCATTGGTGGTACTTCAGTTTACTGAAAGCGTTCACGTTTGGTCACTCTCCGTCCAACTCCGTTAACTTTTGGTACGTGGCGGTCAACTCTAAAAATTGACTGTTAAATGTGTGACGTGGCAATTTAAAAATAATAATTTTAATAAAATTAAATTTTTTAAAATTGTCATCTCATTTCCACCTTATTATCACTTTTATTTAAAAAAAACCCCTAATTTCTTCTATTCCCATTACCATGGTTCATAGGTAAGAAACCAACCTTAACTAACAAGACGCGTTTTGGGGTGAAATGAATGAGTTCTTGTGAGAACTGTGAAGTTAAACGTGCTCAGCGTGGAGCACTAAAAGGATGGGTGACCTCATTTTGGGAATCTTGGCCCAAAACCGACAATATCTTTTGTTTAGTGTGACCAGGTGAACAAATTTAAGACATTCAAAATCTGGAAAATAAATTTGTTGTACATATATGACGTTTTAATACGTTTAGACTATTGTATGTCAGGAGCACGCTAAATTTATCGTACGCTCATTGAGTATTTCTATTTAGATCATGAATTAACTGGATTTTGGAAATTATACTATAACCTAGCCTTGGGTAAAATACCTCGTGTGTCACTTAAGTTTGAGAATTGGGGTAGACATACCACTTAAGTTTGAATAGGGCGTCGGGCACCACTGAACTCTATTATATGTGCACCCAGTACCACTTAAATTTACAGCTAAGTGCATTTCGTTAAAGTTGACAGAATATTCTTGGACTATTCCATTTTCTAAATTTCATAATTGGTCCTTCTACTTTTCTTATTGTAAGAAAATCATTTGGACTTAACAAACATAATTTTTTATTGTTTAGCTAGAATCCTCTTTTGAATACTTGATACTAAACCAATTTTTGCAAATTTAGAATCAATTATCATTATAATTATTTTGAATTATCATTAAGTGTTCTAATAATTGAATTATTTATGAATGTTGTAACTAACCAATGTTGTAGCTTTTATAGTCATATTTTCTTTTCTACAATTTTTACCGAATGTTGTAGCTTTTATATTTTATTTATTACTTGATTACTTTTGTAACACCCTCGTTCTTTCGGTGCTAAAGTTGTTATCTTTTCATAAGTAATGCCATGGCAAACTCAATTCCTCGTTTATCGGTTCAAAGTCTGAAGTAAATAAAATGTACTCACTTAGTGAGTCCGGAGGATTTTGCTTTGTGGTTGGGTTGAGAAGATAACTCATCTAGACATGTTAAGTGTGACGATATGTATGTGTATAAATTCATTTGTAAGACCATAGGAAATTACTAAGAGAAACTCTTAAATTGACATATAAGCTTGTGTTAGGTACATGTTATGCTCGAGAAGGGAACCAAATTGAAAGTATAAAAGAGTAGGTCTTAAAAGAAATTAGAAGAGCACTAAATCATATACGCGTTTCATTTAACTTCAAGATTTCGATCTCTATAGCTAATATGAAAGTCCCCATCAAAACCTCTCGCATGTTCTTGTAAGTAGGGGTAGCTCAAATTTAAACTCACTTTGACTAAGGGGTACTGGATTTTCTAGAGAAGAGAATCGGCCAGGGAAATTAATGGCCTTGTCCCATTTCGATTTCCCCATCCATGCACTTCTCTGCACACAAACATCCACCACCTCTCAACTAGAAATCATTGTTTACAACCACGTGGGCTCTAGGTGGCGGAAACTAGATGAGCCAGAGAAGAATCATTTATTGGGAAAGAGTGGTGATTCCATTCTCACCTCTTTTGGAGGCTCAAATAAGGAAAAGGAGATACCATTTCCATAATCTGAAAGCCACCCTTAGCAAAGTCTCTTCCGCCATTCTCATCACCATTTTATAGCTTTTAGAGAGTACAGCAAGGGGAGGGGTTTAACACAGGGATTGTGATCATATCAGGTGCGGCGATCTCCTTTTCTAGTTAAATTTGTAAGGTTTACGGTGAAAGAGTGACATAGGTGCTAAGAGATTATAATGTTGAGAGGATTTAACTACTCTATCTTGAAATCTCTGATGCATGCGTAGAACCAGCTTAAGTTTGCATGCTTTTTATTTAGACTGCACGAGTATATGCATGGGTTAACTTGTTAGCTAAAGTCGTAGGGGGATAGGTAAGACATGGGTGTGGTTACTGTGAAACTTTGGGTGGAAATTGATCTTTTAACAAGTATATGTACCTAATACATGCATGTGTATATATATATATATATATGTTTCTTCCTAGGATTGTATGGCAAAAAGGGCTCTAAGAGCCGTGAGTCTAACTAAGAGAAGAAAACACTCAATTATTATGGGTGGAATGGTGCACGATAGATGCATTATGCATATATGTATAATTGTGGCCATGAATTATAATGAAAGGTGATTTGTTTATGCTTAAAGAATTGGGAGTAGGTAGGGTCATATGCATGGAAGTGTTTATGTGTATAATTAAACACGTTGGTATTTAAGGTTGATTTATGGAGATGAATTAAAAAGGATTATTATGATTTGAAGATATAATAGTCATCTGTACTTCATTAAGAAAGAAGAGGTGTGTAATGAGCAAGTGTATTGTCTCTATGCTTATGAGTTATGTATTTTTATTAGCTGTTCGGCGATTAAATACTCAAATATTAAACATTTTTATATGAATTAATAAGGAAAGGAGCAAGTCGGGGAATCATCACGAGGCAAGGGTATAGCTGAATAGCGATCATACTGTGAGTAAATTCTAACCTAGTACCTTAATTAATACGAGCATGATATTTGGGTCATGAAGCGGCCCAAACCCGAGGTAGTGAATTTAATTATAGTAAAATGCGGTTGCATGTGTGATAGAGTATGTGTTAATGATTATATCATGTGATGATGATATTGTGTGATTTCAATGTGGAGAATGATAAGAATGTTGATGAGATGCGTATAAAGAGGCACGAAAGGCCTCAGTGATGATGATAACGATGATGATGATGATGAAGTCAATGATGACAATGATGTTGATATTGATAATGGTGATGCATGTGATGTGAATGATATTTATGGATTTGATATGAGATGATATGAATGTGTGTTTCTTTGTATGTGTGTGTTAACGGTTAGTCATGCACCTGGAGAAAATGATGATGTGATAAGTCCTCAGTGAGGACGTTGTGTATATATTTGGCTATGTGCCAATTGCCCGGGCTATGGGAGGAAGTCACCGATACTTTAGGTCGGTGGAGGTGGTGGATCCTAAGCATCGAGGAGGAGGCGGAGGAGGAGGCGGAGGAGGGAAAGAAGATGATGGTGCATGACTAGGCCGGAATAGGTGATAGATGCTTGTATGTGCATATGCTTGTTGTGAATCGTTTTATGTGTGTGTTGTGATGATGATATTTAAATAGGTATGATCCTATTAATGAATTTGTGCTGGTTCTAAATGTTTCTATGTGCGAGTGGCGAATGTTTATAGAGGTACTAGTATAACGAGAGAAAGAAGGGTATAACGTTAACCGTGATTGCTCAATACCTTGTTTATGTTAATTACGCTACTAGGTTAGTTTTTACTCATTGAGGTGACGTCTCACCCCGTCAAAAAAATTTTCCCAGATTAGAAGTTTCGGACTAGAAGTCAGGGAAACTCAGCAAGGCTTAGCTCGACATCAATGAGGTGGGATGGTGGACTCAGACTCTGACATGACTTGTTTATAGTATTTTCAGAGAAGATGGTCTTCTCTACTGTCATGTGTTTAGAAGTTTTAAATGTTTATGTAAATTATGGTTTGGTTTATAAGCTAAACCGAGTTGTAAAAGTTTTTAATCGGTACGATCATGTTAATGTTTTAAAAATATGTATGGGTGTTACAACTTTCCATCTTTTTTTGTTCAAAATATTTTCAATTAGTGGAATATGTTTAACTCTTTCTAATTGTGTTACATTTATCATTCTTTGATTTTGATGTATTGATCATCCATTAGGTTCTATTTTAACTATTTCTAATGGTGCTTCTAAATGAATTAGAGGATTTAAATAGATATTCTAATATTGATTTTAAATATTTATTATAATATTCTAGTATATTTATTATTCTTCTTGATATTTGTTTATTATTTTTACTAATTTATCTATTTTATTGAAAAAATTTGATTAGTCATTCTAGTAATAATATGTTTATAAGTTTTCTAATTATTATATTAGATAAAAAAATTCAAATATAGTTTTGAATGTTTTTAAAAGTTTTGGGTATCAAAAAGTAATTAAAAGTTTGGGTTGGATGGAAAAGTAGACAGATGCACATTTTGGCGACATTAATGGTCCCCGACGCCCTATTCAAATTTAAGTGATATGGCTGCCCCAATTCTCAAACTTAAGTGGCATCAGAGATATTTTACCCCCTAACCTCTAATGAATGAACCCTAATCCATAATTCTCTAACTCAAACTATAATAATTCTCTAACTCAAACTATAACAAGCATTAATTATTATTCGTTAATATCTAATAAATGTAAACACGTATGCTAGACGTGCGCTAGCATTTCCCATCATTTATACATATATTATTGGCTCTTCTATAATACTTGTTGAATGTTTATTGGCGGACACACACACTGTGATGCATATGCGTGAGAACTACTATGATTCGTATTTACCATTTAATAAACTTTTATCCCTTTCCATGGCGATTGGCGAGGACCGAGGAGAGCAATCAGATTTGATATGCGAATCATATCGCCCATCTCCCCAATCATAATAAATATTTTGGTCTTGACCCAAAATCAAAATCTTTTAACTTCATCCAATCCATGTTCTGTGGTGCCCTCACTTCATCCATGTCATTAAATGAAGAATCAAGCAGAAGTTGTTAAAGTATTGGATTATTTAGTGTGGGTTGGTGATGTAACTTATGTCTATATTTTTTTTTAATATTTTCGTATGGCCTGAACTTTGACCAAAATAAACATCCTGGCCAATCTTTTCGATCTATAACATCCTGGCCCGAACTAT